TAAAAAACATTTTTTAATAAATATTTTTTAAAAAATTTAAATAAAAAAAAACAGAAAATAATAAAATTTATGAAGCAAAAACGAAAAGAAAACTTTATTGATTCGTCTTTACAAAATATTTTTAATGCTGTTTTAATACTTTAAAATATAAATAAGTAATTATTATAAATATAAAATTGAAGAAGTGATACTTAAATTTATTATTATTAATCATTTTAAAGAAAGTATGAATAAATTATGCAGATTAAATACGTAAGAGGAAGGATTTACTTCCATGTAAGGGACCAGTAGGGTCTCTATCTTTATGATGCCTTAAAATATTTGTTACAAATTATTATATATATATATAGAGAGAGGACATGCCATAGCTTATGAGAGTCTTGTAAGACCTCTTAACCTTCCAAAACCTATAAAGAGACTCTCAGAGATCCATATGTTTTATGCCTAAATTTTGTTTTTATATAGATATATAGGGTGTTTCTTAACTTCTCACAGTGTTATAGGGCCTCTCGGAGATTCGTAAGTTAAACGTATGTTATAAAAATTTATTTTATAAGAAATATTTACATAAATGTGCATACGAAAAGAATATAAGCAGGATTTGGTAAAAATATATTGTTATATGTTTTGCATAATTTATAATATAGTTTTTGCCCGAAACAGGAAGGAAAATATATTAGATTTATACAATTTACAGCAAGAAAAGACTATTTTTAGCAGGATTTATTGAATAGTTGTAGCAAAGTTTACCGTATGCACACATATGTATAGAGAAAGAAAGCATAAAAAAGGGCAGAATAGTGCATTTTCGTGTTCAATGTTCACACGTGGGACATGAAACTGCATCATTTATTCTTTCTTCTCTCGCTTTGGATAAGATTGGTTGCATTTTAAAATGAAGAGGACCAAGATAATTATTATTCCGATCATTAAACACTGTAATTTTAAATTATAACGATAAACAACTTTGTAGTTAGAATATTAAAGTATATATTTTGAATTTATATTCGATTCACTCGTTTCAATTTTAATGAAATATTCTAAAAGTTATTATAAATTGCTCAATAATCCAAGGGATTAATCTACTTTTACATAAGTAGTTTCGATATTAATTAAGCAGAATAAAGCGCTCGGTATAAGACACTTAACAAACTCCATGATAAAATTCGGATTAATATTAAGTAGCGAGGAAAATATTTAAATCGAGAAACTTCCTTCATTTCTCATATTAGACTAGAATACATTGTTATTTCGTTCGCGAAGCACGCGAAGCGACGCGAACAGTCGCGTCGTGTGTGTTTTACAATTGAAATGACGGTAAGCGCCAATCGTATACCACAGACTAAAACTAGGAACCTGTCGCTTTCAATGACTCGGATATATAATTATTGTGTAAAGAATTTATATTTTATTAATTAACCTAATTAAAATTGTTAAAAATTTCTTTCCACGTAAGAATTTTTAAAAGAAATTTATAAAATCAAATTGTGTAAATCGTTGAAGGAGAAAATCTAATTAAATTAATGGGATTAATGTTTATATAACATAAAGAAAAATTTGATTACTGTGAATTTTCTAAATAATATTTCTTTAATTATCGATTTATGAGTAAACATTAAGATAAACAGCTGCATTATAAAGGTACAGACGGCTCTTATCTTTAATTATATTTTAAAAAATGTTTTAAGTCGAACGTTTTTAAGTAGTTTTTGTAATATATCTAAAAATATTTTACATATTTCTATTTATTTTCTTAATAAAATAATTTAAAAAACCGTACGTTTGAAATATTAATTACATGTCTTAATTCGTAAATACAGTTAAAACCTGCCAACAACGACCACCGACGGGAATTTAACAAATGGCCGTTGTTTGCGGGTTATTTTGTATGCATTTAGAGTAGCCGTTGTAGGGAGGTGGCCGCTATTGGAGGTTCGACTGTACATCAAATATTAATAAATTTCATCCGTTATTGTTATTATCAAAGTAATATTTACATATATATTTAATAAATTTTCTTTGTCACGAATATAGAAAGTTGAGAATAACATATATTGAAAGAGGAAAGAAGGGAGAAAAAATAGAATTTAATAATACGTTCTCGAAGGTTAAAAAAAATAGGAAAAAAGGTGAATATAACTAAACTAATATAAAATTATAAATTATATTAAAGCTTATTCAAAAATTTAATGCAAATTACTTTATTTTTTTCTTACGTTACATCTCGATTATAAGTGAAATAAACATCTCGTAAGCATTTTAGTAAGAGAATGAGCCCTTTTTTTATAACTAGTTATATTACACAATAATATGTTTTTTTTTAAAAGAAAATTAAATCATAACGTGTTATTTAACCAGGAATATTTAAAAATTTATTACTAGAAAAATGTTTTAATGAAAAATAGATTTTCTTCGTCGCTTGTAAATGTCATCGCAGCAATTGTTTCGGGAAATGCATTAGAAATAATGAAATGTTTCAAGTTTCTCGGGTTACATTATCATTGAAAGACTGCAAATAGAAATTAGCGGTAATCGTGGAATAAGTAATTAATAAATTTAGAAATTACTTATTCGACTTTTATGCACTCCTGTAAAGAAAATAAAGAAAAATTTAGTTTTGTAATATTTAAAAGTTTTATAATATATTATAATCTTTTAATACTTACTCGGAAGACGTCTCTTAATTCTTCGATATTATCCAATTCCGACAGTTTTTCACGGAAGCAACTTTTGTAACTCTTTCTTACCTGATAGTAATTATGAAAAATGTGTTAAATTAAATCATGTTAAAGAATGTTTATATAAGGATTAAAATCATTTTTAAATAATTAAATCCAATATATAAAGCTTAATATACTATAAAAGCAGTGGAAGAGACTATAACCTATAATGTATTTTGCCCCAGAGAAAGAGAACTTTGTTTCAATTCCATCATTGATCAAGCACGTTTTTCTTTAGATAAACATGTAGGCTGTACAGTACATTAAACTCTATACTTTGAATATTAATTCTTTGTTATTTAGAATAAAAAGTAATGCGAGTTTTAAGTTACTTACTTCATCCTCAGCTTCTTCGCAGAAGTAATCTCTTCTACTTTGTCCATCTTCTAGATCCAGATCGGGTACTACTTGTTTAGCGCATTTCCCAGCTATTTCTCCTACCTTACGGATAAATAAAAATTTATTTTATAAGAAATATTTACATAAATGTGCATACGAAAAGAATATAAGCAGGATTTGGTAAAAATATATTGTTATATGTTTTGCATAATTTATAATATAGTTTTTGCCCGAAACAGGAAGGAAAATATATTAGATTTATACAATTTACAGCAAGAAAAGACTATTTTTAGCAGGATTTATTGAATAGTTGTAGCAAAGTTTACCGTATGCACACATATGTATAGAGAAAGAAAGCATAAAAAAGGGCAGAATAGTGCATTTTCGTGTTCAATGTTCACACGTGGGACATGAAACTGCATCATTTATTCTTTCTTCTCTCGCTTTGGATAAGATTGGTTGCATTTTAAAATGAAGAGGACCAAGATAATTATTATTCCGATCATTAAACACTGTAATTTTAAATTATAACGATAAACAACTTTGTAGTTAGAATATTAAAGTATATATTTTGAATTTATATTCGATTCACTCGTTTCAATTTTAATGNGTGGAAAGCATATATTTTAAATTAAATAAATTTAAAATATGATTAAAAATTAAATAATTGCCACTTAAACTTTATTCTTTATAAAATAAAGAATAAATTCAATATCTGTGATTAATTTACGTTTTAACATTGTAGTTAGAATATTAAAGTATATATTTTGAATTTATATTCGATTCACTCGTTTCAATTTTAATGAAATATTCTAAAAGTTATTATAAATTGCTCAATAATCCAAGGGATTAATCTACTTTTACATAAGTAGTTTCGATATTAATTAAGCAGAATAAAGCGCTCGGTATAAGACACTTAACAAACTCCATGATAAAATTCGGATTAATATTAAGTAGCGAGGAAAATATTTAAATCGAGAAACTTCCTTCATTTCTCATATTAGACTAGAATACATTGTTATTTCGTTCGCGAAGCACGCGAAGCGACGCGAACAGTCGCGTCGTGTGTGTTTTACAATTGAAATGACGGTAAGCGCCAATCGTATACCACAGACTAAAACTAGGAACCTGTCGCTTTCAATGACTCGGATATATAATTATTGTGTAAAGAATTTATATTTTATTAATTAACCTAATTAAAATTGTTAAAAATTTCTTTCCACGTAAGAATTTTTAAAAGAAATTTATAAAATCAAATTGTGTAAATCGTTGAAGGAGAAAATCTAATTAAATTAATGGGATTAATGTTTATATAACATAAAGAAAAATTTGATTACTGTGAATTTTCTAAATAATATTTCTTTAATTATCGATTTATGAGTAAACATTAAGATAAACAGCTGCATTATAAAGGTACAGACGGCTCTTATCTTTAATTATATTTTAAAAAATGTTTTAAGTCGAACGTTTTTAAGTAGTTTTTGTAATATATCTAAAAATATTTTACATATTTCTATTTATTTTCTTAATAAAATAATTTAAAAAACCGTACGTTTGAAATATTAATTACATGTCTTAATTCGTAAATACAGTTAAAACCTGCCAACAACGACCACCGACGGGAATTTAACAAATGGCCGTTGTTTGCGGGTTATTTTGTATGCATTTAGAGTAGCTGTTGTAGGGAGGTGGCCGCTATTGGAGGTTCGACTGTACATCAAATATTAATAAATTTCATCTGTTATTGTTATTATCAAAGTAATATTTACATATATATTTAATAAATTTTCTTTGTCACGAATATAGAAAGTTGAGAATAACATATATTGAAAGAGGAAAGAAGGGAGAAAAAATAGAATTTAATAATACGTTCTCGAAGGTTAAAAAAAATAGGAAAAAAGGTGAATATAACTAAACTAATATAAAATTATAAATTATATTAAAGCTTATTCAAAAATTTAATGCAAATTACTTTATTTTTTTCTTACGTTACATCTCGATTATAAGTGAAATAAACATCTCGTAAGCATTTTAGTAAGAGAATGAGCCCTTTTTTTATAACTAGTTATATTACACAATAATATGTTTTTTTAAAAGAAAATTAAATCATAACGTGTTATTTAACCAGGAATATTTAAAAATTTATTACTAGAAAAATGTTTTAATGAAAAATAGATTTTCTTCGTCGCTTGTAAATGTCATCGCAGCAATTGTTTCGGGAAATGCATTAGAAATAATGAAATGTTTCAAGTTTCTCGGGTTACATTATCATTGAAAGACTGCAAATAGAAATTAGCGGTAATCGTGGAATAAGTAATTAATAAATTTAGAAATTACTTATTCGACTTTTATGCACTCCTGTAAAGAAAATAAAGAAAAATTTAGTTTTGTAATATTTAAAAGTTTTATAATATATTATAATCTTTTAATACTTACTCGGAAGACGTCTCTTAATTCTTCGATATTATCCAATTCCGACAGTTTTTCACGGAAGCAACTTTTGTAACTCTTTCTTACCTGATAGTAATTATGAAAAATGTGTTAAATTAAATCATGTTAAAGAATGTTTATATAAGGATTAAAATCATTTTTAAATAATTAAATCCAATATATAAAGCTTAATATACTATAAAAGCAGTGGAAGAGACTATAACCTATAATGTATTTTGCCCCAGAGAAAGAGAACTTTGTTTCAATTCCATCATTGATCAAGCACGTTTTTCTTTAGATAAACATGTAGGCTGTACAGTACATTAAACTCTATACTTTGAATATTAATTCTTTGTTATTTAGAATAAAAAGTAATGCGAGTTTTAAGTTACTTACTTCATCCTCAGCTTCTTCGCAGAAGTAATCTCTTCTACTTTGTCCATCTTCTAGATCCAGATCGGGTACTACTTGTTTAGCGCATTTCCCAGCTATTTCTCCTACCTTACGGATAAATATTTTAAATTATATTTAAATTTTAAATAATAAAAATAAAAAAATCTTTATTAAATACACTCACGATCGAAAATCCGTGATCACGTACGCATTTGCGTACTGCCGCTGAATTTTTGTGCGCTAAAACAACAAAGTAATTGTAAAGTAATTCATTTTTAAGAAAAATTATAGAAATATTTGCATTAAATATGCCAACTTACCGCAATATCTGCCTTTCGGATACTTTTCTTTATCTTCTTCGCTACTACCAATGACAGCCACCAGCATCAAGCAAAATACAAAGGCGATCACTCCTCCTTTATTCATGGTTATTATCTAGACGTGTTTCTTCTCTTCCTTTAATAAGGCTGAGAGGTATGTTTTGATGTTGCAAAAAGGCAATTCCAAGGTCGAATCTTCATTGTTTTAATATATTTTTCTTCTCATTTTTATTCTTAACAATCGCCATTATGTCGTGCACGGAAGTCCTTGAGTACGCGACTTTATCCAGTGTATTATTATACGAAATATTTCTTATTTTTAATAGGTTTATTGATTTGAAAAATGTTGTATAATCATCAAGATGATACTATACAAGAAACGGTTGATGTATCTTTCCTTTTGTTTTGTTTTTTTCCTTTTCTTTGATTTAATAAAACAACTCGCTGTTGCCACAGGATATACGCCAGTTGAAATTCATATTTTAAAAAAATAATAATAATATACAGTACTTGCTTAAAATTATTAATCTGTGGCCATTTACACTATAATTGACAACGCGAATTGAAATATTTGAATTACAACCAATCACAGCTTAGATAAATTCAAAAATCGAAATAATAGCCAATCGGCAACTAAATAAATTCAAATAACGTCAATCGATTGGTTACGTAAATAATTTGTAAACTAACGTAATTATACTTTATTAACGTTCCCAAGAGTCATATTTAAGTCTCAAAACACGTAAACTTTGTCAATGTATTAAGAAACAATGTGAATAAATCAAAATACTTTTGCAAAAATTTAAAGTTTTCTTTATTTTTTTTTCTAGATTACAACAATTAAGTTCGAAAATTTTATAGGAATTTTTTTTAAAAAAAAATTAAAAATTTATTTAATTTTAATTAAAAAGAATAAAAATCCATTAAAATGAAAGATTTCATTGCGCCATCTGCCGAATTTAACTGTAAATAAATCGTATAAAATTAAAAGAAAATATTTAATAAAAATTCGAGAAAATAGCAAATAAATTGCTGAAAATTTCTTTATTTAATATAAAGTAAATAAAGTTTCAAAATTAATTTTTTCTATGTTAAAATTATTTATAATTTTAACATAATATAACATACCAATTTCCATTTAGGCTAATTAAATTTCAATTGGTTTTTTCTCCACATTTCTATAAAATAATTTATAAATAAATGAGCATAAAATTCCAAATAAAATCATAAATTAATAAAAATAAAACAATGAAAACTTACTAATAATTTCTGTATATATTTCAGTTTGATAACGGGATCTTCAACTGCCGCATGCAAACATCTTTTATAACTTTCTACCTCCTAAACATAAGATTGATGTAACTAAATAAAATGCTAATAATGTAATAAAATTATAGAAAATCTTTGATTTTGTGCTATATTAAATGCTCTAATGAACTATATAATGTTAATTGTAGAGAACACGACGAAAACAACGCGTTAAATCGTTTAAAAGAAGGCAATTTTATAATTAATATAACTAGTTACATCTTTAATTACTAATACAGTATTATTTAAAAATTCGACGATATTCACCTCATCCGTAGCCACGTTACAGAAGAAATCCCTTCTTCCGACGGAATCGTCGACGTGGAGCTGATCATTGATACTCTCCAGGCATTTACGATCCTCTTCTAAAAGCTGCGTAACGGATTAATCATTAATAGTTCGGTATAAAATGATATTGCTGTGTGATATACATTACCTCTTCTTCAATTTCTTCCTTGATGCAATCCATCACTTGCTCGATATTTTCGTGGCCTAGAAGAAATGGCAAAGAGTTAAAGAAACGTAAAGAAAATGGAAATTTTATTTAAAGATACTCACTGCAATATGCTTTATGAAGTTTTTCGGTAAGTGCATCACCCGTAACGGCAACAAACAAGAAGCAGGAAACGAGAAGCCACAACATCTTCCCGTTCGACATGGAAAATTTACAATTCTTGTACCGTGTAACGATGAAGTTGCATTGAAATTTTGACGTCTTTTATACAGTTCAAAGTATGTTTAAAAAAAATCACATGACTAAGAAAATAGTGTATTGAAGCATATTATTTTCTCAGAACAATCTTTCAAGGTTATACGAAATTAAATCCCCTTCTTAACAATCTGTTAGGCTGCTAAAAAACAATAAAAATTTACATTTTAGAATATTATATCTCTGAGAAATAATTGTAATTATTATTATTAGATTTTACTTTCTCGGTTGTTATATATAAAACAAGGAAAGATATATAGGTTCCACCAAAGATTTTTACATTTTTGGACTTAGAGGACCTTGAAACGTCGAGAGAAATGAGAAAAATTGAGGGTTTTTCTATATGTATGGATATTAGTATGTGTAGGGGACACGATTTTGTTCATCCGTTTTAAAGTTTAATAACTTCTGCACTTTTTGTCGAAAATTTCTGAAATTAAGCAGGGAGGTTTGTTTATTAGGTGGAATGATGCTATTAAATTTTGTTGATGAAAGGTTGAGGGAGTGGAGAGATAAAGGGGATAGTATATATTTCCAGTAGGGTCGAACTTAATGACGATTTTACTGATTATTAGCATTAACAAGTTGTTTTTTTTTTATAAAACCTATCCTTAACAGATGGTGCCACCAAATATTGCCGGGAAAATTAAGCAACTCGTTTCTGAATTATTATTTTAAATAAATTCGAATTTTAATAAGTTTAATTGTACCGCACACTTTTAAAACACGGTTAAAAGTTATTGTCATTTATTCCACGGTAAAAACGAAGAAAGTAATTTAACTTTTAATAAATTATTTATTTTAATTGCCTGAGATTTTACGAGTTAAAAACATTAATTTAATTTAAATTTTACATTATTTTCATTGTTTAATGTCTATAATTTAAAGTGTGAATAATAGTCAATTTTTGTTTGCTATTCATTATCTAAACAATACACCTCGTAAACAATGAAAACAAACAATACGAGAGATTTTATATTTGAAAGCGAGCCAAATAAATTTATTTTAGGGAATGTATTTATTATTATTATTATTTTTAAATTATAAACTAACGAGAAGAATAATACACCTTTCGATAGCCGCCATTTTCTTATAAACGAAGAAGATTTGTGATAATAGTTAATGTAAAATATACATGTTTATTTTTAAATTAAATAACTGAAATATTATCTGATTCTTTAGAAAATTAAACAGCAAATTAATAAATGCAATTAGTTTACTTTCAATTAAATATTTTTATTTTTTCATTAAAAAAAATTTCTTATTTCCTTTTACATTCTCTTCAATTGTCTCCATTTATTTTTCATTAAATATTGACATAAAAGATTTTTCTAACTAAAATTAGAAATAAAAATTGTAAAAAAATAATTGTACAAATTAAGTATTTTTTTAATACATTTATAGAATAGTAAAGCTGATATATTTAAGTATATTTATGCAATTTACACGAATATAAACAGTAAAAAAATCTTATCTTTTAAAATTTACAATAAAAAAAATTCTAATTTTTTAAAGATTTTTCCATAATTAATCGAACTAAAATTATACTTTTACAACTTTAAATGTTGTTCTGCTTATATACTGTATACTCGGTTCTTGTATTATTTTTTTTCTTCGATTCCCAAACATTCCTATAAAATAATTCATTATATAAAATCAAACAGTAAAATTTATACAAATTAACAGGTTTTTTAAATATTTAAACTTACTTTCCAAGCTTCGATAACCTTTTCCAGTTCATCCTCTTTGTGATAATTCTCATCCAAACATTCGTAATAAGTATGAAGATCCTAAAAAGTATAAAAACAATTATAACTTTTAAATTTATTATATTTATTGTATTAACATAAATTTGTCATCGGGTATAGCTACAAAAGACTATAATCTAAAGAGAAATTTAATCATTTTTTTGGCATTAAAGATTAATTTAATTTATAAAAGATTTTGAATTAAATTATTAAGGTAATTTTATAAGGTTATTAATACGTTAATTATACTAAACTAATGAAATTTCCAATAAAATCATTTAATATTAAACAATTTTATATATTCCTTACCTCCTTTTTAGCTTCGTCACAAAAATAATCCCGTTTCTGTTTAATATCTGTGACGTCGATATTAGGATTGACTTGAACAATACATTCTTTACCCATCTTCACGAACTGTTTATTATATTATTTATTTATTTATAATAAATTTTTAAATTCAAAATTTATATATTATTTACGTATTAAAAGACATTCTACCTCTTCATCAATTTGATCTTCAACGCATTTTGTAGCTTCTTCAATATTATCGTGATCTAAAATTATAAAATTAAATTATGTATTTTATTTATTTAATTAATAATATATATATATATATTTATATAAACTTACCGCAATAAGCTTTAAACAATTTTTCGTAGGATTCATTAGCAAAGACAGCAATAAACAAGCAGGAGGAAAGAATGAGTAATATCTTCTTCCAGTTTGACATGATGAATTTGTAATTCTTCTTCGATGATTGTCTTGTTGGAAGCTTTTACGTCTTTTATATAACTCCTGCTTATGTTAAAAACAAAATAAAAATAATAAAAAAAACCATGTGATTTTACAAATAATTTTCTTCGAAGAATTCGTATTAAATCGAGCCGCTTACTTATACACATGACTTAAAAGTTGCATTTACCTCAAGGTTAAACGTGTTTAAATCATTAAAAATTTATTATTTTACAAAAAGAGTAAAAATATAATCTAATATAAAATTAATTATAATTTTAATGATAAATTTATAATATTTATTTATTGTATAAAGTTATGTAATTTATCTAATTCTCGAAAGTACTCTTTCCTCTTTCGCAATTTAACTACGGAATTTTGCGCATCGTTTCTTTGTTATATGGAAAAATAAGGAAAATTTATAACCGATAAAAAGTTTTATTTTCGATTATTAACATAATTACCAACAAGAAAAGCCTTGTAGGAATTATCCGAATAGAAAAATCTCTTTAAGTTATGTCTGTCTCTCACAGTCTATAACGTATCGATTACATAAGATATAAATAAAATTTATTTATTTCTCTATATAAATTAAAAATTTAAGATATAATTTTCCACAAAACGTGTTTATGGATCAAACAAAATGCAATAAAACAGTAAAAGAGGTGAAAATAATACATTTAACTTTTTAAAAATTAAATAATTGCCACTTAAACTTTATTCTTTATAAAATAAAGAATAAATTCAATATCTGTGATTAATTTACGTTTTATCAATTGCATTTTTTACTTCAAATAATTGTAAAATTTAAGTAAAATTCAAATTATCATTCGTCCATTTCGTAACAAAATGGGTTAAGATGATAACCTGAAAAGAACGGTCGGTCCTCTTTTATCTTCCCGTCAGTGTCCGCTGTTTGGAGGTTTGAGTGTACTAAGCGAATAACACTGAAAAAAGTTCATGTAAAATTGATAGAACAAAAGAATTCTTCGAGGAAATCTCCTTTATATTTATTAAATAAATTTATTTAACTCGCAAGTATCCGCTTTAAAAGAAAAAAAATTCAATTTAGTTTTAAGCAATAAGAAGTTTGAATTTAATGAGAATTTTTAAAATAAATACACGAAATTTGATACGAATATCTTATAAATTAGGAAGAAAAAAAGCCTAAAAAGTTATCTATTATTTTATTTATGTCGTTAGTTTGCTTCACTCTCAACCTATTTCTCATTAAGATTAATCACAAAATTTCTCTTTTTAAACTATTTCGATTTTAAATCATTAAAATTAAAATTAAAACATCGAGAAGAAGAAGGAAAAAATATTAAGAAAATCTGGAGTATTTAATGGGATCGGAAATAATGACGATTTTACTCGTTATTGGCATTTACAATTTTTTATAAAACCTATCTCTACCCTCAAAATTAAGCTTTTTCCGTTTTATAATAGTTAAAAATATAAAATATCATAACAGATGGCACCACCAAATGTAACCGGGAAAGTTAAGCAACTCGTTGCTGGATTTTTTTACAGTTATTTAAGGTGTTATCAACTTCATCTTTACTCTGCTCTCAACTCTTCGTATTTATTTTAACTCTTTTTAAATATAATAATATATTTTAAATATATTATTAAATTTAAAGGAATGTTTTGATAGAAGGCGGGTAGCAATGGTCTAACGTAGTAAAGGGCGATTGCTGAATCATCCAGTTTCTCATATTCAAGTTCCTAATTAAGTAAAAATAATTGTAATTAATGGGTAATAGAAGCCCTTTATTCTTTACACGTTCTACATTTTTAATGCAAAAGTTCTTAAATAAATAGTAAATTTTACACTTTATCACGCATCCATTAATTTAATTCACTCACCTTTTCGGTTGCTTCATTATAGAAAAATTCTTTTAGATTTAGGAATATTAATTTATCTACTTTAGGTTGATCTCGAGTATGCATTGATCAGTCTTCTCTACGTGCTAATAAAGTAATACATTTGTAAAATAATTAATAAAAAAAAAATTAAATTAAAAATTTCCTACCCTTTCTTCACGAAGCGAATCTATACGTTGAGCGATGGCATCGATATTTTTATCAGCTAAAATATCGAAGATAATAGCATAAAAAGGAGAAAATTTTAAATAATTTATTATAAAATAAGATTTTAAACGTATATTTTCCTTATTTTTTACACCAATCTGAAGTTACAGCAAAGAGCAACAGGATCAGCATCACGATCAACTCGGATGAGATACTTTTTATATATAGTATAGTTGTATAAAATTTATAAAATTATAGAAAGATTAATGATATAATAATTCCTTAAAGACAAAAATAAATTAATGTTCGTTGCATACAATTTAAAATTACTGAATTTAAATAAGGTTACGAGTGCTTAGAGATTCTTATTGATCCATTTACTTTATTAAAAAATAAAGAAAGAAAGAAAAATTATTTTTATATAAATCTCTTATCAAAAATGAGTATAATATTTTGTGATAAATTGAGAAAATATCTTCATTAAAGAAGAAGGAGAAGAAAAAATATTAAAATCTCATCCGAACAACTTGGAAAAACAAGTTTTTGTTACAGATTTTAATGAGATAATTTTTTTTAAAATTAATTTTAATTTTAGTGAGTGACTGTATGCTTGATTAATTAACAATACTCAATGCATTCACTGCACTCTAACAGGAACATGCT